GAAAAAAGTCAGAATTCTGAGAAAAAAGTCAGAATTCTGAGATTAAAGTCAGAATTTTGACTTTTTTCCCATACTATACTGAAAAAAAAAAAAAATCTGTTAACTTTTTTTTTTTTCAGTGGCCCTAATCCTCTTCCGTAAAAACTATAGAACAGGTATAACATTTTATTTATTTGCATTTTTAACAAATTTTTTTTCTATAATTATAGAAGGTGATGCAGGTATAGTATGTATAGGTATTTTATGCAAAGAAATTCCATTGTGTTTTCAAATTTTTTGTTCTCTTTTGTTTCCATTTTATATTTTTTTAATTAATTTTCTTTAGAAATTCACTTCCATTTTATATTTTTTTAATTAATTTTCTTTAGAAATTCACTGTTGCTTCATGCTCGTTTATTTTTTATGACTTTTCTTTTTCGTGATAAAGAAAGCATACATTAATCTAAAAGATTAGAGAACCTGCATAAAAATTAAGCTTTTAGCCTTAGAAAGAAGCTCCTAAAAGCTTCAAACATGTTCTTCTCCTGCTTTTTGTCTCCTTATTTCTTTCTTCCTGTGCTTTATTCTCTCCCATCACTTCAAGTATCTGTTTCCTACTTTCCCCATCTTCATGATCTTTCATTTTTCCTCTCCTTTTACTGACGTCCTGAATTATTATTTTAGTATTTCCTCTTTATGCTTTTTATCTTGGTTTGACATTTTCTATTAGATTTTTCCTTCCTGGCTTTACATTCCTTTCTTCTCAACTTGTTTCTGTCTCTGCCTGGTTTCCTGGGTTCTTATCCTCTTTATCATTCCTTCTTAATGTTCTTATTTATTATTCTTTTCTCCCTTTTTCATCCGTGCTGCTTTTTCTTTTCATTGTTCTCGTCTCTTCATCTTCTGTCTTTGTCAGCTGTTAATCAAGTACAATATAGCAATAAATCCATCCATCCATCCATCTGAGAAACAGATTCAAGTAAAAGGGGGATGTAAACAAGGATCAAACTGAGATAGAAATATTTAATCTTTCCAGTCTGTGATTTTTTAATGTATTTTCCTTTTTTGCTTTGTATTCAGCTGAATGCTGCATATTCCCATTTCAGAAAACAGCCTCTGAAATGAACTGAGTCTTATGCATGGTTGGATTTTTAAGTTTTTTACTGCTATGATGACTTTTAGACATTTTGAAATCCTGTTTTAAAAAAAACATGTGATTTTGCATCTGTAAAGCTTTAAATTACTGTATTCTCTTACACCAATGCCTGGTTCAGAATGACTTTAAATTACAGGGGTTGGACAATGAAACTGAAACACCTCTCATTTTAGTGTGGGAGGATTCATGCCTACATTGGACCAGCCTGGTGGCCAATCTTCATTAATTGCACATTTAACCAATAAGAGTGTGATAATCCAATTAGCAGGGTAAGAGTACAGTTTTGCTCAAAATATTGCAATGCACACAACATTATGGGTGACATACCAGAGTTCAAAAGAGGACAAATTGTTGGTGCACTTCTTGCTGGTGCATCTGTGACCAAGACAGCAAGTCTTTGTGATGTATCAAGAGTCACGGTATCCAGGGTAATGTCAGCATACCACCAAGAAGGACGAACCACATCCAACAGGATTAACTGTGGACGCAAGAGGAAGCTGTCTGAAAGGGATGTTCTGGTTGTATCCAAAAAACATAAAACCACGGCTGCCCAAATCACGGCAGAATTAAATGTGCACCTCAACTCTCCTGTTTCCACCAAAACTGTCCGTCGGGAGCTCCACAGGGTCAATATACACGGCCGGGCTGCTATAGCCAAACCTTTTGGTCACTCGTGCCAATGCCAAACGTTGGTTTCAATGGTGAAAGAAGCGTAAATCTTGGGCTGTCGACAATGTGAAACATGTATTGTTCTCTGATGAGTCCACCTTTATTGTTTTCCCCACATCCGGGAGAGTTATGGTGTGGAGAAGCCCCAAAGAAGCGTAACACCCAGGCTGTTGCATGCCCAGAG